AGCTGTTCCATAAGAAAAATACCTGCACTCTCTCCTTAATCCCTATGTATAGTTAGTCAAATGGAGGTCATTTAGTTGCTCCAATGGCCATTGGAGGGAATGCCCGCCTGCCAACGTCAAGGCAGACCCCCCTAAAGCGGGTCCTACACTGACCCTTCAGCCTGCTTCCTTGAGCTTCTGGCAAAGATATCTCCACTAAGACAGAGAGGGGTATTTTTTTATATACACCCCAATATTCTTATTAACCCTTAATAGGGAACACATGGGATGGATGGCAGCATTGTAACAAGGCTGTGTGATACAAAGTAAATACAAATACAAAAAGAGAAGTCCTGCGCTCACTCCCATCACTACTGGGCAGGCAGCAATGACTACAGTACACATCAGCCCCAATATATAGTAAAAACCAAAGAAAAGAAAAAGTTACCTGCGCTCTCTCCCTAATCCCTTTGTATATTTAGACAAATGAATGTCAGTTAGTTGCTCCAATGGCCATTGGAGGGATTGCCCGCCTGCCAACGTCAAGGCAGACCCCCCCTAAAGCAGGTCCTACACTGACCCCGGAACTCTGACTCCCATTCGCCTGAGCCACCACTGGACCCCAGGGAAAGTCACCCTCCTGCACCTAAAAGATAGGAAACAGGAGGGTGACTAAAATATTTTGTGTGTGTGTGTATGTTTGTGTATGTGTCTTTGTATGTATGTCTTGTATGTTTCTGTCTGTACGTATGTGTGTGTATGTGTCTTTGTATGTATGTCTTGTGTGTGTCTGTCTGTATGTATGGGTCTGTATGTATGTGTGTGTGTGTCTGTCTGTATATATGTGTGTGTGTCTTGTCTTTGTATGTATATGTGGTGTGTGTCTTTGTATGTATGTGTGTCTTGTGTCTGTCTGTATGTGTCTTTGTATGTATGTCTTATGTGTGTGTCTTTGTATGTGTGTGTCTGTATGCATGTATGTGTGTGTGTCTGTATGTATGTGTATGCTTTATGTGTGCCTGTCTGTGTGTCTGTATGTATGTGTGTGCCTGTCTGTCTGTATGTCTTGTGTGTGTCTGTATGTATGTCTGTCTGTTATAGTGGGCTATAGTAAGTAATAGTAAGTGGGATACCTCGCTCAGCCTTCCTAGTTGGCATTGCTATAAGGAAGGTTAAAAAAATTTTTTTTTTTTTAAAGGTGGAAAAAGGGTAGGGAAGGGAATTGAGGAGGGAGAGGAGGGGAGCTGACGCACAGAGATGGCCAGTGAGGGACAGGGAAGGGATGGATTGGAGTTGTGAATCAATATTAGCTGACAGCTGCTGGAGGTCAATAAAAGGGTGGTTAGGCTGAGGTTGTTGGGTGAGGGGGTTTTCGAGAGCAAATAACAAGAGGTGGTGATCAGAGAGAGGAAATGGAGTGTTGCAGATATTAGACACTGTACATGCATAAGAGAAAATGAGATCCAGGGTATTGCCAGCTACATGGGTGGGAGAATTAGCCCACTACAATAGCCCAAAGGGAGGAGGTAATTGAAACTAGTTTAGAGGCTGCTGAGGTCAAGGGTGGGTTAATGGGAATATTGAAGTCCCCAAGAATTAGGGATGGAATATTAGAGGAGAGGAACTAGGGCAGCCAGGCAGCAAAGTGGTTAAGGAAGAGGATAAGGGAATTAAGGGGGCGATAAATAACGACAATGTTAGCAGAGATGGGTTTGAAAAGGCGAATTGGGCCTGTGTTCGGTTTGCAGGAGTTTTATCACAAGATATTTGGACGTTAGTTTAAAAGAACAGTATGGGAGAAGATATTCAGAAGTCAGACATAAACCTAAACTGGCCCCGAATAACCAAAGACTTAAAATAAAAGTTTCCATTAGGTTGTATCACGAACCAAATAGTTTGCTTCTAGTAAGCTGAAGAGACTGAAAATAGATTGAAATAAATTATCTTGTTTTTCTTTTATAATTCCAGAGATGGCTTTTGTGTGATGACAGGTATCAGAAAACACAATCAGTTAAAAATGGAGACAAGCACGTAACAAGCCGAGACACAGCTGTAAGATTCCTGGTGGGCAGTTTAGATTCAGGATTAAGGGGGAAATGACCCCGAAGCCACTCGTAATGTACACTGGTGGGCAACAACTAACCATCACCATTCTTCACTTTGTGCAGCTCTTGGCAGACATAGACTGTTAGTAACAATCTATATTTATTGGCTTTTGGGGAAAATGTTAGGGATACAATAATCTGGCTCTTTATAGTGTAGTTAAAAAGCTGGGTTGGCTGAGTGACTCCTAGCATATATTTATGTTGCACTATGGGCAGTCAGGGAAAATGACTGACAGTCTATTTTGATGGTTTTTCATCTCCTGGGCACACAGTCTCTGTCCCACTCCCTCTCTCTATGACAACTGGCAGGTGCTGAGGCAGTATTTCTATACCAATGAATGAAAGGGAGCCGGGATGGAGGCACTCGGTCACAGGATAATGGTAAATGCAACTGTAAGAATTTCTATATTTAATTTTATTTTTCAGATCTCACAAGAACATACTTGATCAATATAGGGCAGGGGCTCCCAATTATTTGTACCCAGGGAACACTGGCATATAGTGTATCAACATCATGGAACCCCGTTTTTTGTATGTGTCGGTGTGTGACTGTGTGTCGAGGTGTGTGTATCTGTGTTTGTATGTGCCAGTGTGTGTATCTGGGTGTTAATGTGTATCTGTGTGCATGCGTGTGTGTGCATGTATCTGACACACAGACACATACTGGCACATAGTGGCACACAGATACACACACCTTGACACACAGTGTGTATCTGTGTGTGTGTGTGTGTGTGTGTGTGTGTGTGTGTGCCACTGAAACACAGATATACACACACACACTGGCACATAGTGGCACACATAGTGACACAGATACACACACCTTGACATAGTGTGTATCTGTGTTTCAAGGTGTGTGTATCTGTGTTTGTATGTGCCAGTGTGTGTATCTCTGTGTCAGTGTTTATCTGTGTGTGTGTGTGTGTTTATGTATGTATCTGACACACAGATACACACACACACACACACACTGGCATATAGTGGCACACAGATACACACTGACACACACCCTCAGATACACATACACACACTCAGATGCACAGTGACACATACACACATCTTGACTCACAAATACACACACTATCAGATAAACACAGTGACATATACCAACACGTGCACCCACAGATACACACATTGGCACATACATACACTCAGATAAACACATTGACACATACACACAGTGTCATATACACACACTGACACACTCATACACTCACACATAGGCACATACAAACACACTGATATACACTGGCACATACACACAGTGACACATACACAAACCTTGACACACAGATACACATACTGACACACTCAGACACACATACTCTTTGACAGACACACATACACTCTCACTGATATAAACATACTCTTTGACAGACATACACATACACTCTCACTGACACACATGCAAACACATATACACTCTCACTGACAAGCACACATACATTCTCACTGACAAACACAAACACACTCACTGACAAACACACATACACTCTTTGACAGACACACAAAAACATACAAACTCCCAGCAGACACACATACAATTTATTATTTTTTGAAATTTTACTCCACCCAGTCTCCCTACCTTTGGGAGTGCTGGTATGAAGTCTCTCTGTCCCTGTGGTCCAGTGGGGCCACTGGGGTCCAGTGGGGCTGCTGTGCGGCTGGTGTTTGGTCCTTGGGGTCCAGTGGGGCTGCTGAGCGGCTAGCGTGCGGGCAGCGAGGGAGCAGTGATCTTCCTGCTCAGCTCCCTCGCGCGCCTCTTAGTGTTACTGGAGCCGAAGTGACGTCATATTTCGGCTCTGGCATCACTGCTGTGTGTGCAAGGGAGCTGAGCAGGGAGATCACTGCCCACTGCTCTCTCGCCACACGCAGCCATTTTGTTTTCAGAAATTTTGGCGGAATCCCATTTGTGTTCTCACGGAACCCCAGGATTCTGTGGAACACCAATTGGGATGCGCTGATATAGGGGATAAGTAAACATAATATTAAAAAACCTTGCATATGATAGTTTCACAAGGCTGAATGGGCAGGAACCAGTTCAATGCTGGGTGGAGGAAGCATGTGGTCTGCACTTTGGAAAGGTGCAGACCACTTTATAATTTAATTTAAAAAAAAAATTGGGGTTAAAGCAACCCTTCCGGGCAACAAGAAGATTTCCCACACAGCTTTCATCACAAACTCTTTAATGAGCAAAGACTACCTTATCTTCCATACTTTATTATTACTATTATTATTATTTATAAAGCACCAACAAGTTCTGTAGCGCTGTACAATGGATGGATTAACAGAGACATATTTGTAACCAGACGAGTTGGACACACAGGAACAGAGGGATTGAAGGCCCTGCTCAGTGATCTTACATGCTAGAGGGAGTGGGGTATAGTGACACAAAAGGGACGGGGAGGGTAGAAAAGTAGGTTGCTGGGATAGTGTTCATTGAGGGCTTAGTGTTTTGTTTTAAAGACAGTTTCAGGAGAGGAATCAGGGTGCAGGGTGTTGACAGTTTAATTGATTTGCTTTCCTAAAGAAGTACATTTTCAAAGTGGAGAATGGGTGAAAAGTCTAACAGAGAGGGGCAGGGCGTTCCATAGGAATCGTGCAGCCCTTGAGAAGTCTTTAAGGTGAGCATCAGAGGTAGGAGTACAAACAGAGGTTAGACATAGATCTCCGGCAGGGCGTAGACGGGACATAGATGTGTATTAATGAGGATAAGTAGGTGGGAGCATCATTGTGTAAATATTTGTAGGCAAGTACCAGGATCATAAATTAAGCCCTATATCTTTTGGGAAGCCAGTGTAGGGACTGACAGAGGGGGGAGGCGTGGGAGGTGCGGCAGACAGGAAGATGAGCCTTGCCGCCGCTTTCATTATAGATTTTAACGGCGCAAGTTAGGATCACGTAAGACCACTGAGAATCGGATTACACTAGTCAAGGTGAGAGAGGACAGCGGCATGAACAAGCACCTTAGCAGTATCACGCGTTAAATAAGGGCGTTTTTCAGATGGAAGCGGAAGAGTTTTGCGATTGATTGGACATCAAGGGTGAAGGAGAGATCAGAGTAAAGGAGAACACCTAGACAAAAAGCCATAGCGGTAGAGCTGATGGTAGCGCAATTGAACCAAAAATAATACACATGTTGGTCTTTACCACCATGTATGGAATCTTGAAACTAAATAGTTTTACTCAAACAGGCTTATTTACTAAAAGGTGAACTGTCATAAAATTCAATTTGAATCTCACATATTAGGACTGAATCTGAATTCACTCTGTGTTGGGTCTTATTTACTAAAGCAAGAATTGCAAAGAATCGACAAGGAATTGTAAATCAAAGAAAAAAAGGTTACTTGCGCACTATTCAAAATCTCTATGGATATTTAAATAAATGGAGGTTTTTAGTTCCACTCCAAATGGCCATTAGATGGAAGCCCACCTGCCACGTCAAGGCAAACCTCTTAGGTGGGTCCTACACTAACAATTCACCTTCATTGGGAGTTCGGTGGCGGGGGGCAGATAGATGAGATTTACTTACCTGAATCTGTCCGCTGCGGGTGCCGCCATCTTCCTCTTTAGCTCCTGGTGCTTCATTGTGCGAGAGTACAGCATTGAGGTCTATGGAGGATCCCGCAAGGCAGCAGGATCGCCCATAGAGCCAATTACCTGCAGCCGTCAGTGGAGGCTGTCGGGATTGACTCTGTAGCTCCGCCCTGAGTCTAAGAAAGTCAGGCGGAGGAAAAATACAGAGACAAAGTATATTTGTCTCAACTTTGTCTCAGTATATCTCTGGACTGGGTTGCAATTTCAGTGAAGGGGGGGGGACAGTGTCGTTTTAATGCTAGTTTTACGTGAACTGTGCTGTATTTTGTAAACTATGTTTTTATTAGTCTGATTAGCACCTTATAAAGTATCCATGTTTAGGTGACTGCAGTCTTAACATTATTATTATTATTATTATTATTATTATTATTATTATTATTATTATTATTATTATGTAATGTCAAGATTTTCCAGCAGGTGGCGATGTCCGCTATCTGCTATTAGTTTCTGTTTCTATTAGAACCCTGAGAAAATGTTGCAAGTCTCAGAACGCGTTGAATGTTAACCCTTGATGAACCCGGATCTGCCCAACTCCTGGGCACACGTTGGCTGCCCTCCACCCTGTGCCCTTCCAGCTGCACGGCATGTTCGGCATTATTTGTTCTGCTTTGTTTGCTCAGCTCTTCTCGGGTTTCCCAGCTTTTTTTTTTTTTTTTTGCTCCACCCCATGGGGATCAGGAGACACTCCAACTATTTGACTGTGTAAAGTCCTGTCCTCACTCACATGCTCACTGAAGAATGCTCCCAGCATGGCCGTAGCGGCGGCAGCAGCAGCCCCGGGCAGCCGGTGGCACAGAAGTGGCTTGTTGGAAGTTCTGGTGAAGGAGCACTGGCACAGAGTGGTGGCCAACTTGGGAGATATCTCACTGGTCCTGAGCTCCGAGGACAGGGCTGGAGGGGACATCAGCTCCAATGGGATGACCAATGGCTCCTACAGGAACCCCCAAAACTCTGACTCTGGTAGCCCCAAGGGTGTGAGGACTGCCTTCACCGACCTGCCAGAGCAAGTGCCAGAAGCCATTGCCAACAAGAAGAGGGAGGTCAAGGTGGTGAAGCAGGAGTTGGGGGGGCTGGGCATTAGCATCAAGGGGGGCAAGGAGAACAAGATGCCTATTCTCATCAGTAAGATCTTCAAGGGGCTTGCTGCTGACCAGACCCACTCCCTGTATGTGGGGGATGCCATCCTGGCTGTCAATGGAGTGGACCTCAGGGATGCCACCCATGATGAGGCTGTGCAGGCGCTCAAGAAGGCTGGCAGGGAGGTGATGCTGGAAGGTGAGTGAGGGAGGCAGGCACCTACCTGCAGGGGGTGGACACTCATACAGAGGGGCTGCTTGAAATCCATTGGAATTTCTCATTTTCATATTCATTCTTAATATTTTTCTTTCTGCATGTCTGATAATGACCTGACCAATACATTACTTATTTGTATATATAATATAATATAAATGTATAATTATTTATTTATTTTTACTAATTTGCGACTGTCTTTTTAAGAAGTCAGGCAGTAGAAGTACCCCTACCTAGCTGTAATCTGACCTCTTCCTCATACGTCAGTTTCAACAGTAAAAATGAGGGGGCTCTGCTGCTGCAGAACCTCTTCTCACAGGTTTGCTTCTTGAAGTAATGTAAAATAAAAGTGATTGCACAAAACTTTATTTTATTTAGAACCTGTAGTGAGTGACTATATCTATCCCTTCTTCACACTGCTTTGGCTTATAGTATTTTTGTATTACATTGGGGGACTTTGTGGAGTAGATTTTAAAACCCCTTTAACCCCTTAAGGACCAAACTTTTGAAATAAAAGGGAATCATGACATGTCACGTGTCCTTAAGGGGTTAAACGCCAGATTGAGGAACAGCATTGCACTTGCATCCAGGAGGCACTGCTTTAGTTAAGCCAGAACTTTAATTTAGGATGTGACATTCAGTAAATAAATTGGGTTCTTGGATTAAAGTCTGCCTTGTAGCTTAGTTTAATAGTTCTTATCTCCCCAGAACTTACAAATCTGTATTTACTATCACTTTACTGTGCAGTGAAAAAGGTAACATGAGAACCAATTAGCTACATTCAACAACAAAAATCTGCTTAAGAATTCAGATAGCATCTAAAGGGAGGCTAAAATATCTGTTTTGATACAAACACGTGGGGTTTGTTCACTAAATGCAGTAGTAGTGAAACACAACATCTAAGCCAAAATAGATGGTTTCAAAATCCTCTCTAACTGGCTACAGACTCAGTTTGGGGATTTTAGCCTGAATGATGAAGTTTGATTTTCAGTTTTATACAATCCTTGTTTTAATAAATAAACCTGACACGTTTATACATTAAACCATTGCTTTACAGGAATATACTTGGTAATGACAACGTTTAGGCCAATATAGCAAATATGGAACCAGAGCTGAATTGGAGAATTATTTTCAGTTTAATTATTTTGACAAAAAATGTCCAATCCCCTTGTCCATTTTCCCCATGTCCCAGTTTCATGAATACGCCTCTTACAGGGTTATTCACTGAAGTGAGAATTCAAATTTAAGGTCAAATTAGCCAAACTGGGAACATTCTCTAAGTCTCTTATGTCTGCACTTCGGCTACTTTTTGGGCCTTAAACTTCAAATTCACTTTGAATTTTTACTTTGGTGATTAACCCTACTAGGGTTATCTGCTGTAACGAAATCTCACATCAGCTTCACAGTTTAAGGAAATCTGTTATTTATTTATTTTTAAACTTTTTTTTTTTATATAGTTTCTCAGTATCCCCGATTAACATGTTTTGGCCTACTAAGCATTCCTTCAGTTACATATTGACCATTTAATGTCTGTAATCGCTGAACTCGGGGGCATCATTCTGGTATCTCAGCTGGTGGTATAAACACTGCCAGCCATTGGAATAACACATTTTGCTCGGAATAATTAATCAGTTATAATAGTTAATCATTTCCAGTAATGAAAACGTATCTAGTTAATTATTGTGGTAAGTGTGTGGTTTTTTTTGTTTTGTTTTTTAAATAATACCTGCCATTACCCAACCTGTTATGCATGAGATGCACAGAGTTAGCTCATTCTGCAGTGTATCAATCCACTATGTTTAAACTACTTGAGCTAGGCAGCTAAAGTTAAAAGCAACTCGCATTCCTTTGGATTGTTGGAGAGTTGACTCACTTAACACCCGGCCTGTTCCCTAGTGCGGCAGCTCAGACCGGAATTTTGGGCACCTGTCGTTAAACCTCCAAATGAATTAAGTTGCCACGCAAGAATGGTCTACAGGTGTGCAATATAACTTGTTATGAACACTCCAGTGTTCATGTGATGGTATGTACCATCAATGTCAATAGGACACATGTGTCCCCACCATCTGCATCACTGATACTATTAGTTAGGCAAACCTAACTAATAGTAGACTAACTTTTGTTAGTCCAAGTTTTCCCAGGTTTCACCATGGGCAACCAATGTTGGCTATATCTCACTGTGCCAGGTTCATTCTTGCACCACCGACCGATGTTGGAAAGATCCAGATATGCCATGTGCTGAGATGCACCATCAGTGTTAGTTGGATCAAGGTGCTGAGATGGTCTTATGTCTTATTGCGCTAAATAGAAACGTTGAGAGCTGTGAATGTGGTGTTTACTCCTTTCCTGTCTATACAGTTATTTATTTATATAGTGCCAACATAAGCTGCAGCACTGTATAGACGTGTAATGTCACCACCCATATTTTATTTCCTACTTTGACAATCTGTCAATGCTGTTCTAAAATTTATCGTATTTTTTTGCTGACTTCTGTTTGTTGCAAATAAAAAACCAACGATAAGCTGCCATAAAAACAGTGAATTTGTCATTTGTGCCATTCCTAAATCTTCCACGTGTGACAGATCATTGGCGTGTCACTTGAAAACAGCAAAATGCCAATGTAAATTTGACTACAGGAAGTAGAAAGGTGCAAAACTCTCATAGTAGACTTTTGTTAATAGCTGAATATTTTATATGAAACTAGCAAATCGAGCATTTCACAGTCAAACAGCAAATTCCGTAAAATTACCAATCATTGAATTTGTCACTGGGATAGACACATGTTAATCCAAGTGAAGAAGGGGAGGACACACCGGCAAATTCTAACTTAGATCTAAATTAAAGGGAGACTCTTCGCACCAAAACCACTACATCTCAAAGTTAATGCATAGAAGCCCCTTTTATTGAAACATTGCTGTAGTTTCGCAATTGCACTTCTAATGTATGAGAAGGATCGGATATGACCACTGTGTACCTTTTCCAATAGACTGGAGTACAATATGATTAATATATGATAGAGTACAACATAAGGTAACAGATATATTGATTAAAACAAAACTGTAAAAAATGATGGATACACTGTTGCCCCTCTTGCTACTTTGTGCTTTTTCTAATACACTGTTGCCTTATTAGCTGTTTATAATGACACATTTGACAATATTGTGTTCTGAATATCAGAACTTGTCTTTTTAAATACCAATATTACTGTCAAAAATATAACAATCCCATCTGTGACACCAG